GGCTCGCGACGATTATAGGGATCGTCGAGGACGTTTCCATGCACGCGCGGACCGGAGAAGAAAGGTCAACGGGGATATGGTGGCGAGAGGGCAGGTGAAAGGAAAGACGGAGGAAAAAGAGGGAGAGACACAGGAAAGGGACACGGTCGGGGAGAGAAATTTGCGGGATCGTAGATGTAGAGACACGGGCAGGGCACGCTGTAAATTACAAGCAGAGCGCCAGACCACTATGGTCTTCTCTCGGTGGCGCAGGGGTGTCTAGACGTATAGATAATACCGAGTTTGTGCCGGGGCAGACGCAACCTAGACGGTCCCTGGTTCATCCAGCCACCCGAACCAGCCAGCCAGCCAACCAGCCAGCCAACCGGGCTAGGCTAGACACATCGACCATGCTCCGTTTCTCTCGCTACTGTCTCTCTCTCTCTCGCTCTATCTCTTTCTCTGCCTCTATCTCTCGTGAATTTTCTCTCTCCATCTGGTTGCTGCTATCGTTCCACCTATACTGTCACGCTCCTAGTCGCACTCGGCCATCCGCGAACATACCTATACGACTCCCGACCGGATTTCCCATCGTTCTCCTGAGCACTGGCTCACGAACGCGAGCTTCCTCTCACGCTCGTCGTCGCGCGAACTAAGAGATGCAAATCCTCAATAGCTTCGCTGCCGAATCCCAGATCCCATTGCCACCGATCGTCATGTGGATGACGCAACACCATTGGCGTAACTAGCTATTGGGGTGCACCTGCTTTCTTATGGATTCGAATTTTCTTCGATAATGGTGGTGATGTAACACAAGAATGTCATACGCGTAGCAGTACAATACGAAGTTACTTAATACGTGGGGGTATCACGTAAGATCTCATTCTTGGCGATATAACGCGAGGGAATCTATTGCATGATACAATGCTAAATATAGTGTGTGGAGGTTTCAGATGAGATCGAGTGTCTTATGACACAACGCGAGTCTAACGTGTGGACGTATAACTTGAGACGACCTATGGCGATATAACGCGAGGGAATCTAATACATGATAGAATGCTAAATACGGTGTATGGATCAGATGAGATCAAGCTTTTGACACAACGTGAATCTAATGTGTGGAGGACTTGAGATAACCTGTGGCGATATAACGCGAGGGAATCCATCATGTGACAATCTAACGTAGTTATATAATTCATCTATTTTAAAATAAGGTCATGCATGGTTATTTGTGATCTAAAGCATTACGATCTAACAAGTTTCTTGCTCTCCAGAAGCGAACGGTGATATAATGAGAGGTTAAAGGAAGATCCTGCAAAAATTGTAGTTACGCCAATGCACACAGGACGATCCTCTTGCATCCAATGCGAGACTCCTTGCGCGCGACGAAGCGATTTTACCTCGAGACCTCGGAATTGTTCCCTTTCAACAGGGAACAACCGTCGCGACGCAACGTTCTTCTTATGTATTCCTGTGTGAATTCGACGATTTCGACATGCGGGTTGTTTGATGAGCCAGAGGTATGGAAGATGGAATTTTGAAACGATCAAACACTTTTGATACCGCTATCGGTAACTCAACTCTCGTGGATTTTCGAAATTCAAATAAAGAATGTCATTCGTATTCTTTGTGCGTATGTACACATATCGAGATTGTTAGAACTGTGTGTGTAAAAATTGCAAACTTTAGCTTCATATAAAAGATGTATATACAATTGAGTTCATCGATAGATT